CTTAATATTTCGCTAGAAGGTTCTGTAGGCCTCTGTCACTGGAAGTGGACAACGGACACTTGGTGATTTTAGGCAGGCTTTTCTCCATCTTAAGGCCATGATCTGCCTCTCAGAGTGAGTGGGACTCTGGAGCTTTGGGGTCCTGTTTCCTAAGCAGCATGGGCTGGTTGTGCCTGGTGCTTTGGCTCAGAGACACATCTCACCTGGCAGGTGCAGACAACAGGGAGGAGGAATTTGCAGTAAGTATTGCATGAGGAATGCCATAAGCATTTTTTAAGTGTTTGGTCCAGGTTCTGGGGATGAAGCTAAGAAATTTTACATCATCAACTTGGCCCTGTCCTGCTGCCTGAGGAGGCTTTAGTTTGGTGCTTTACAGGGGCTCCAGCACATTGTCAGGAAAGTGGTCAAACATGAGACAAGCTTTCTTAAAGCAAGTTAAAGACAGATATCTGTTAAACCACCCCACCCCTTTTTATCATTGATCTGCATTTTGAGTGCAGTCCAGTCTCTAGCCTTTCCTTTCCTGATAAGGTTGTTGACAAAGGTGTCATGGGGCAGCCCTAATTTAACTTTCTTGTACTGCACGTTCTTGCATTTTTTCCCCCTCTCTGAGGCCGAGTAAGGCACACAGGCTCTATTTCTGTTAGAGTATGAGCAGCTCCTAGAGGTGACCAAGGAGAGGTCAAAACCACAGGCAGATTCTTTGATCTATTGGCAGCTTTGTACCCCTTGGATCAAGAAACATTATTGACCTGTTTGTCAATGGCTGTGTGTGGTCTGAGTAGCCCTTTTGACAATTTGAAAGGGAGTTGGGTGAGATTAATGCGTGATGATGGCTTTTTTTTTACTCCTATCCTATCACTATCCGAAGTCTGCGTTTTCGGGGAGAGCCCATGTGGGCTGTGTAGCTATGCATACACAGATAACTCATGGATCTGAATCTGTGCTTAATCTGCACGTCATCTCTCTGACCTGGACTTTGTCACAGCCACACCTGCCCGTGAGACATTGGATTTGGATTGCAATTTCTCAGAAACCTCAGCTGGTTCAGTATCAGGCCATGACTCAGCAGTGCTCCTTGTGAGGAATGTGGTCTCGGCAGGCTTTCTGCTTTTAAATTGATTTCAGGTGTACATCACACTGTCAGCTGCACAAAATTTTCTCTGATTTTTTTTTTCATTACTGGATGCCAAGCATCACTAGAACATGGCCAATAGGATAAGTGGAAATCTCTTATTCACTGACGTGTACTTTGAATTACCATTCCCAAAACAGAGGCAGGAGAGGAGGATGATCATCAGCTGCTTTGGGGAAAAGTTAGTGTCTCTTCTTGAGCTGTCACTGAAGATGGGTTCATGCTGGACGTTGTATGGAAGCAACTGAGATGCAGGCATATGTTCCCTTCTGCTGACTTGGCTGTGGTGACACCAGCCACAGCCAGCAAAGAAGAGCCAGCAACTGGGAACAGTAACATCTCAAACTGCAGCAGAGATTGGCCAGACCGCTCCTGTCAGCACTTGGATTCCCTTGCTGTTCATTGAGGAATTAAAAGTTAACTGAGGGCGGTGGTAAAAAATAGGCTTGCCTGCCTAGAAAATGCTAAAACCAATCCTGAAAAGCAGAGGTGGATCTGAAGGTAGTCATCTTTCTTGGAGTTTATATGGGGATTAAAACAAGCGTCATCCTTGTAGCACATAGGCAATTTTTTAATCACTGCTGGTATTTCACCTCAGGGTACTCTGTGGGAGGAAGAATTAATTTCCCATCTTTTTCTAGCTAATGGAGGCTTGTGATTTTCTGCCAATCATAAAGGAGAGTCTGTGGCCAAACTAGATGCCAGAAGTGATTGAATAGTCTGGGATTGGTAAGGTGTACCACCTCACCTCCAGAAACCAAACTGGGGAAACATGCATGCAGAGAAATGCCACAAGATGTTACATGGCCATTTCACTTCCACATCAACAGGAAAAGACACTACAAGGCTGTGGAAAGCATAAGAAAAACTGCTGTGCAAAGCAGTGGCTGCAAAATTAAAATACAGGATGTTTTATTATATGCAATCCTCCCTCTCACCCCCCTCCCCCCCCCCCCAATCTCTTCTTGTTAAAGACAGAAATCTTTCTTAGTGAAAAAAACCTCCTCATCTTGAGTACAAGGCAATTTAGATTTTTTTTTTTCAGGGGGTTAAAGTGGCATGTTTGCACAACACCACCCTCACCCCAGCAAACCTGCCAGCAGTTGATAGATATAAATAGGTTCATTTAGGGAGAAAAGCATATTTATGTTCCTTTGAAATGTGCTTGGCTAAGGACATATTTTTAAGAGAGGGAGTGGAAAAACAAATGAAAAATATTTTCTTTGAAAGGGAAAAAAAAAGCAATAAACTGTCCTTCCTAAATAGAGATGCTTGGCTTGTGTGTACTTTATGCAGCTGCAGGTCAGACCTTGCAAACAACTACTAAATTAGGTCCAGCTACTTTGAAGCTAAAAGCATAGAAGTGCCAATAATTAAATTGCATCAGATGTAGGAAATGACTGATGTGTCTGTCATTCTCATGATAGCAGAGTTCACTCTGCTGCCATTTGACTGACCCCTCCTTCTTTATGTAAGCAAAAGGAATTTTCTTCTAAGGAAAATCAGCTGCTTTTACACCTTTGTTTTGTTTTCTGAACTGCTAATCCCCTGAAGGTATAGAAGCTATTTGAAAGAGCAAATCAAAGCTCCAATAATTTAGTGTTATATTATTCGTTGATGTATGGTTTGATTTAGTGGCTACTTATTATATCAGGTTACCATATAATTATCTTAATTATTGACTCCAGAAGCAAGTAGGGGGATTATGAGAGAAACAGGAAAGCCCAGTGGAAAGAGCATGGTTCAGAGAATCAAACACATCTCAATGTGCTCTTGGCTCCACCACTCATTTTCTCTGAGGCTGGACTCTTCTCTCAGCCAGCATGTCCATGAAACCAGGAGGGATTGCAGGAACAGGACTCAGATGCTGACTCAGGCTTCAAAGAAATGCAAGAGAGCAGTATAAAAAGGCAAGGGGAAAGTTCTGAATGATAATTGTAAAACTGGCAGAAAAAAAAAAAGAATGCACACCACAGCAAGCATTTGCATTGAAGTGTGGAGCACCTCTGTGGGCATGGCGAAAGGGAGTTGTGCTGTGAAGACCAGAAATTTCAGACTGCATTTCTAGCCTCTGCTACTGATTTCCCCCACAAAAAGGCAGCCCTCCGATCCCTTTCTGTAAAACAAGGGTGATAAAAATCATCCTCCTGGCTTTGGTTTCAGCTATTGGAATTATTGGAGCACCGCTTCTCTCAGCTGTCAGCCATGGTTCTCACGTGGCTTTTAGGCTCCTAGTCCTTTGTCTGATAACCCTGATAACCACTGACCTAAGCCAAAGGTTTGAGTTAGCAAGCACCACCAAAAAATAAAAGTCACACTGAAATGCTGTAAGTGCAGTCCATATTTCCTGTATTGATAAAATTTGTCATATACTGACAAAATACTTCATCTATTGACAAGCTGAGTTGCATCTTTTCCCCTGAGAGAGGAGCACACACACTGGTTCTACTCAGCCTGTGCAAATTACTTGCTCTGCTTCTGCTTTCTGCTGAGCCAGAAAATGGGGATAATAGAATGTATCTATTTCCTTCCTAGAAAAGATCTGTTAATGTGAAATGGTGCACAGTGGCTTAGTGCTGAATAAGTGGGATACCCTAATCCAGCAAGGTATCCTTGTTCTATTGTATGCCTTTTCTGCGTACCATCTGGAGTTGTTCTCTGCTTAGTATTTTCAGTATGTACCATATGTTTTTGCATGAAAATTCAATAAAATATGCATTATACATGAAAAGTGCTGTAGTAAATAAAGGAAGGATGGGATCCAGTCCCCTTTGTGAACGGCAGGGGCCCCAAATCTTCATAAAAGGTTTAGTCTAGTCTGACGTCTGTGCTTTTCTCCAATTTACTCTGTGTCAGTCTTTAGGAGATGGTCTAATTTAAAACAAAACTGTACTTTCCTGATTAAGCTATTCTATATACTTTGGCTGCCCTCTGCTGAGAGCACTGAATAAAACAGGGAAGATGCCCTTTTTCCGAGGAAGGTAACTGTGGAAGAAATTCCCTGTTTGTCTGTCTTGTCAGTGCTGCTGTTTAGTGGCTCTCATCTGTTTGTTGCCAGTCAGAGGGCAAAGTCTTATGAGCTACAGCCCTGTTGGGCTTTTAGTGCCCACCACTCCTTGTCAAGGGCTGGATGGCTTTGTAGGATTGTGAAGACGTGGGCTCAGGCATTGACCATCATGAAAAATTAAGCAGCATTAAGCTAGGGATGGAAGAAACAGGCTTCTCCACTCAGGCACTATTGCAGTCCTGCCAGGTGGGATTTGAGCTATATTTCGGCACCTCACTTCTTGGCAGAGCAATTCACCACTGTTAAGTGCTGGTGCTGCTCCTCATCGGGGTTCCAGCATCTTCCAGTGCCATCTCCACCCCTCCACAGGCATCACAGCACCAGCACTCTGCTTTATTTCTATAGCTGGGAAAGTGCAGAGGGGTTGTTCCAACATCAGCAAGAGTAACTGAAGGCCTTGCTGTTTCTTGTGAGCAAAGAGTGAGCCTCTTGCCCTTGGGAAGTAACAAGGCTCCTGTGCAGATTTTAGTACACATGTAAAACAATAGCTCTGTTACACCTATTGATGCTCTTTGTAATGACCTGCTTTTAATACTTCCTAAGCAAGTTGATTTATTATTATATCTTCAGCTGGGCTGGGCACCAAAGCATTTTGATGATGAAAGGAATGTTACACACACATTTAATTACTGCCCACATTTTTGTATAATTTTATCATTTACTGTTTTAGATGAGACATTGAGTTCTTCTACAGGAAAGATGCCCAGCAAAAAATAGATGATTTAAAATCTAATCTGAGATGAGTTTGGTACTTACATGTGAGAAAACATAATTGTTCCTTTTGTCCTGCCCTTTCAGATGATCCCTGATCACCAAAATGTACAAGAACTCCCTTATCTGGACATGGTGATTGCAGAGACGTTGCGCATGTACCCACCTGCATTCAGGTATCTTTTTTTCCCTCTTCTGATTACACAGGATAGCTCCCTGGCTCTATAAAATGGAAATCTGCTGTAGGAAGACCAATGGTCTCTCAGTCTCTGTGCCAACATCAATACTGCTTTGTGCATTTGAAAGGTATAATGCGGCCTGTTGAAGGAAAGCTGGGTAATTCTGGTATTTCTAAAGAACATTTTTACAGTGAATTGGCCAAGCTTGCTTCCTCACCATTCTTCACATCCCCCAAGGTTAGAGGATGGAGCCATTTGGAGCAGGTCTGGCCTTAGAAAACCAGAGGCTGCTGCTTCCATGTGCCTCAGGCTTTGGGGTTATGCACCAAAACCCATTAGGGCCCTGTTGGTTATTACAGCCCTGATCTGTGGAAAGGTTGCACATTCTGAAAACTGTATTTTACGTGTGTGTTTAACTTTTGCCCATTTACACTTAGCACTGCCTTGTACTAATACAGCTAAACTAATGGTAACATCCATTAACATTTGAAAGTTTTGTCCCAAATCACACATGACTTATTCTATTGTATTAATGAACTGAAAACAAGGAAGAAAGAAATTAGAAAACTGTTTGATTGTTAAAGCTCCAAGTTATCACCAGCATAAATACAAATATTAAGAAATACAATTTTTAAGTGATCAGCCAGTTGCAATGTTTCTCATGAAGCTCAGGGAAAAATCCAGATGACTGGAAAGAAGCCAAAGCTGAGCTTGCTGTGAAAGCTTTTGAAAAATTTAACCCATGACTGCAAGCACCTTAAAACAAAATACAAAAAAGCTTAAATCATGTTCTCTTCTATATGTTCACCAAGTTTGGAAGTGAAGATTTTTTTCATGGGCATCTGTGGGATTGTTCAGAGAGTAAATATCAGAGATCTACTCCTGGATGAGATGAAGAGGCTTTACTGTGTAATACTTGGGGTACAAGTGGAAATTGTTTTGCTGGTTAAAGCAATGGGGGTCTTTGAGTTTGGGCTGTATCACTGGGAAACAATCCATGTTTGTCAGATGGGAGGCAGAACAAGAATGGGGCAAAGTTTTTCTGAAGTTTTGTTTGGTGTTGTCAGCACTGTTTATTGATCTGGCTTTTACTCTGATGGATATGGAATGGATAGGACAGCCCAGGCCACTGAAAAATGTTAATTGCCTATGACAAGGATAATGCTGAGTTAAGTGAAAAATCAGTAGCAGCCAAGTTTGTTATAAAATGAGTTGGTTTCATTTTTTTAAATGAACTTACCATCCTGACAACTTTCTCCTCAAGAACTCATGTTTCCTTTATAACCAAATTAATGTAAAAATGAGAACAATAGCTTGTCAGTGGTTTTGTGGTTTTTCTTTTTTTTT